TCATGTTCAAGGTGAGTGGTGATAGAGGGAAGTTTCCTCTTCCCACTCCCCAAGGGCTGTATTAGCAGATTGCTCCTTGGGAATTCTTGCCCATGTAGATCGGGAGAGGCTGCTCACACAGCAAAAAGATCCTTTTTGGATTTCAAACTGCTACCCAGGACAGACCAACTGTCCTGCTACTCAGACAAGATTTTTTTGTTTTGGCTTGTGGCAAATGTAAAGCATTCTGCAGAAAAATCAACTCCCACAGCATACCTCATCGACAGCAAAACCCTTCCCTGGACACGTTAGGGATAAATAACGAACATCACACTAACTATGTGCATATATAGTTGCACAGATTATCATTACCGCAGCGTGAATTACCAGGTGAATTTTTCAAGTGACAAGTTCTGCAACTGAAGTCACGCCAGCTCAACTTCTGAACGATTAACCACCCCAGACGGGCCTCTTATTTAATGAGGTCTTCCATGCAAATAGAGCCCCAGTGTGCGTTGCCTCAAGGCTCCTCTCATCTGACTAAAAGCAGGTACTTAAAAGATTTTCAAGGGATTATGTCAAACACAAACTGTACTTCGCTGAAATATTCTTTCATTTAATGTCAAAAACACATAAGCAACTCATGCTATTGCTACAAATTCAGTAACGATGAAAATATATTTGAAAGGTTCTTTATGAAATTTTAGAGGAAAACAGACCTACTGCCTGGCTTTATGCATAGAAAATACCACTAAGGCAAAACAAATACCCAAATACATTAAGTAGGTCACATGAAATCATCATGTCTGCCTAAAAATACTACAATTGACAACCAATTTATCTTTTGCTTTTTAATCGAGTTTAAAGTCACAGACTAACTGTGGATCACTCTCACACAAAACACCTGATGGTACAATACAGACTACAGAGAAGAGGTCACCAGAGTATAAAGTACATCCAGCAGAAAAATTTGATGGTTCAAGCAGAGATGAGAGAAGTCTTAGTCTGATCCACTTGGCAGATAATTCCTTCGCAAACAGCAAAGCAAAAAGCTTTCTCATATGCAGTGTGTTCAATTCATTATACAGTGGGCACTTGGTTTTACAAACCCAATCAACAAATACTGATCACATCAATAGCAGTGTGCCGTGTAATTTTATTTAAATGAGAATTCAAGTCATTTTGGATGCAGTGAAAAAGAATTTATTTGTTTTAGTATGCCTTTCTTCAGCAGCACTAAAAAGGTGTTTTGCTAACCTCGTACAAAGGGTGCAATTGCAACATCATCTGTCCCAGTCCCGGGGCGAAGCTTGCCTGTCATCATTAAAGTGACAAAGCAGTTTATGTACTGCATTTTTTCTACTGAAAGCAGAAAAAAAGTCAAAATCCTTTATCCTAACTGCTTTGAGCAGTTAAGTTTTCTGCAAAGCCAGTGGCAAAGTTGGAAAATCAGCACAGTGCAAGCGTGTGGGATACCTCTAACAACCATCAAGCTCCCAGGAACTCAAGGTAGCGGCACGAAAGCAACTTTATTCCAGAGAGGGATATTCCCCTCACCATGCACCCTTTCTCTTTGAAGTCTAGCAGCTGAGTGATGAAGTTAGAAAAGAAAAGGTGCATCTTCAGCTGCTGCGAAGATGCCCCTTGAACGTCCTCTCGCTTCTTGAATCCTAATAAAGAGCAGAATGGGCTTTCCCAGGTCTGCAGGCAGGGCAGCATTCAAACCTACCCAGAGACAGAAGAGGACTTCTGGGAATTGCACTTGCCTGACTGGAAATAAGGCTGTGTATTTTGCTGGGCTACTTCTATATGGTAGAACTTGATTTTTCTTTTCTCCCCTAATCTGAGGGCATGAGGAAAAGGGATGAGCGACGATAGCATTTTCCTTTGTAGGTCCCGCACATGTTGGGAAGGCGAAAGAACGAGAGCACTACAGGAATTCTCTCCCATTTTCCAAGCAGAAGTGGACAGAAGCTTTCACAAGAACCTCTCTCTCGGTTATGGATGCCACACATCTCTGTGGCAGCTGAAACCTCTCACTTTCAGCAAAGGCAAAGCCCATCCTACTTCACAGGATAAAACAGGAATATCCTTAGCAGGGCTTCTCTTATCTTCCCAGTGGCAGGTAAAGTAAACAGAAGCTGCTTTTTCCAAGCTTGTTTTGCAGGCAAGTGGACCCTTCCTTTTAAGACAGTGCTGTAAAAAGACAGCTTGCCATGGAGTAGACACCTCCACGTCCCAGGAGAACATTTCAGAGATAGAGATTCAAGAGCAAAGTTTATTTAGCTTTTACACTCTATGCGGAAACAAAATAGCAGCACAAAATCTACTGTAACACCCATCTGCCTCGATGATTTCAGTGCCCACTATCAAGGACAACAAGAATCCCTTGTTTTCACCAGCTACTTCCAGCTTACCAGTTTCCCCCTTTGTTGAGCAGATCTGGTTTCCCGGAGAGTATACACATCGCCACAGACCGAGATTTCCCGCCAAACTCCAGGTTTCGACTCCTCTGTGAAGCCTCCTTTTGGATGCATGACCAGCACCCCGTTAGTCGTCAATCCATCCATGTGGCCATCAGGATTTTTCCACTTCGCTGCTTTTTCCTGCATGTGACAACCAGGAAAGAGTTTGTCTAAAAGTTCAGATTGAAGTTTTACACACTACAGTTTTACTAGCGCTGTCTGAAAACATCTCCTCACCTGCCAGCAGCGCTTTGACATAGACTTACCAAAAAAAATAGAATAATTTTTAAGAGTATCTTGTGCCAGAGCGTTAACATCTTTTGCTTATGAATCTTCAGTTACTATTCTATCTTAAATATGATTATTTTTAACTCAGATGAGTGCCTCTGACTGCAGGTACGGTAAGCGTTAAGGCCACAAAGGTCAGTAGCATTGTTCTAACTATTCCGTTTCATAATACAGCTCCTTTGTCTTGCACTCAGAACTGCAACAGCAGCTTATTCACAATGACTATCGAGAATATATCAAACCTAAAGAAAACCCACTAACAGTTACTAAAGTAGAGCTTCATTGTTAAAGACAATTATGACTGCAAGTCCATTCTGGCAATAAATTAGGTGCATAAAACTGCAGTTTCTACTTAACGCTGCAGCTGGTACACTGAAGTAATAAAAGTCTAAGAACAGTGTAAGTTATCAACTAGTAGAAGGAAATTCTGAGGCTTGAAAGTAACAGAGAATAAAAACCAGAGATAGCTCATACATAACATAATTACTAGTAGTACTTACGCCAAGAAATATATTTTTAGATGAGTCAAAACCAGCTGCAAAAATCCTTGCTGTATATGGCGGGCTCCTGTCACAAACAATCCTACAGGCAAAACGGGATATGGTGCTTTGCGTAATCTGGGTTTCGTCATTATTTTGACTTCCAGAAATAGTATCTGTTACTACAAAGTCTATGGGGCTTTCTGTCGACCTCCCGACCTGCAAAAGAATTAAGATAACGGTACAATTAGAAAAAGCCTATCAAGGACAGGATTTGCCTGTCCTTTGTTGATGACATCAGTAAACTACTGTCTGCTGAATTTTTGGATGGCAAGATCCAACCAGACTCTCTTCCCATTTGTCCTAGGCAGAAACATATCACTGACGTGGCACGACCAATTTTCACTTACTGCAACTGATATTGCCCAACGCAGATGCAATTAATTGTTTGACGTTGTCAACAACATGGAAGTATGACCACCTTGCTATTTCATAATCCAAACACAGCAAGTGCTTACCACTATACTATGTCAATTGAAAAAACCACTACCTTGCAATGACAAGTTTTATTCACATTTCAAGTTAATTTGCCATGAAAATAAAGGACTTGTTTGAGAGCCAGAAGTTGGTTTTTTGATACACGTTAATGGACAGCTACCTACCTTCATGTTTTCAGTATTCGCAGTTCCAGAATAGAAGTTTTCAGGTAAAATGCATCATATGATTAAATTTATTCCTAATCATACACGTGCAAGACTTAAAATTTAAAAAAAGCCAAACAAAATACTTTCTTCATCAGAAATAAAGCACAGTTGAGCAGTAGATGAGAATATTTTTCTCTCTTGCCATCTAAAAATTTTAATTATACAGCTGAAAACATCTAGGCAGCTGAAACAGAAAACTTTATTACAAAACTCTGCCAACCAACCAGAGACTTTATCAATGCTTATACAGGTAAATTAGTGCAATTCCAACTTTGAGCATAGCCCAGGAAGTAGAGCGAGGAATAAGGAGTCAAACGAAGTATCAGTTTTACAGACACTCCGTGATCAAGTAGAAGAAAATGAAGAATATTCTTCCTGTGAAACTACCTTCAATACTGGGCACCTACATTCCCATAAAATAACTTCTTCACTAAACACAATCTCATTGTCCCCCAAGAAGTTACAATCTGCTTAGCCTCCTGCTCTTCCAAGCCATCTATGGACAGACACGGATTGCTCCATCGTTAACAAACACCTCTGCAAACTGAATTCACTGTAAAGAAAGATTATTCAAGAGTCAAGGAAAGTGATATCATTAATGCTTAACCCTTGTCACAACCGAACTGTAAGAAACGGGAATTTCTCCCGTACTTCTCTTTGGCTTTCAGTTGTACTTCGCAGCGTTAAGACGTGAATTTTGATGTGTTTTTGACTCTAAATGACACTTCCAATTACTTTATCCGTATCATGGGTCTCAACTCGAGTATAAAATGTGATGAGCTTGCTGCAGATAAAGCACCGAGCAACTACTAAAGAAGGCCTAATCCAAAGTATGAAAGTCAATGTTTCGCAGAAAGTACAGCGACTACTAGAATACCCAAGAGACAGAGTTTAGAAACTATTTAATATGGGACTTTTCTGATTTATACAACTTGACAGGTGGAAGCTAAAACTTACAAAGCTATATTCCTCTTCCTTTTACAGTATTATTTCTAGCAGGCTTCTATTTCCCTTCCAAGACAATTCCTGCTAAGAGTCAGCATTGACCAGCAGCAGGAAGCTTATTCCTAACTTTTGACTATTCTCTATCTGTATATGAAATCTCTTAAAGGATAATCAATAACAAACATGAGATAAATTTGTTCATAACAGGCCTCTGCATGTTGTGGTCTCTCCAAGAGATCACCCTCTCAAAGCTTTTAGATGCAATTAGAGAAAAACCTGCCTTATTTTTCCTTAATGGATGACAAAACACCAAGTGTTTGCTCCCAGTCTCCCTCACATGATACTAATCAGTCAACATGAAATCTAAATATGTCTGGATAAGCCTTAAAATCTATATACAAAGATTTTATGTGGTTTTAAAAAGATCTGAAATAACATGTAATATTTTAAGCAACAAAATAATTGCTCTATATATCTCATTTGTGACATGAGTACATCAATACAACATCAAATATTTAAAATATTTCTTGTGTTTTTTTTCTTTTGTTCCCTGTTGAAAAAGCCTGGCAAAGGACTGTTCTCATGTATTGTGTTACATTTCAACTCTACCAATTACTTTTAAGAAGTGGCCTTCAAAACATGGCAATTCCCACATGCTCCCTATCAAACCAAAATTTTGGGGTTGAGATCACCTGAATATAACAAATGAGGAACTTGATGCTGTCAACATTTACCCACCAAAAATTTTACCTCATCTGATGTTGCAGTAGACTACAATTACCACAGACCCAGTTCCACTATTCAAAGCTCCTTTTTACAGACTTTATTCCTCACTTTTCTTCTTTCTAGTAATCCTGGGCTACACATTTTGGGACTCTCCTGGTTAACTACATTGTATTATATATTATTTCACTAAGTTACTTTGAATAATAAACCGTAAATCTTTAACTGATGCCTAAGACAGCTTCTGTTGTCTACACCATAGGTTATTGTTAAAAGCTGTGTAAAAGCCAGGCAGCCAATTTGCTAGTGTCTACCGTCAATCAAAGAAAAGCTATTAAAAAAAAAACAACACCTCCCTCCTGAGAAGGCAAAGCCAGACAACCTGCCAGCCAAGAATTGAACAGCTGCACATCCTTGGACTTCAACAGAATTGCACACTTATGATCAGGAGAATTGGACCACGCATCTCCTGCTCTTCTGAAGAAGAATAATCAATTCTTCATATTGAACGTACCCGCCTCCTGCATCAACTCGTAGTTATTTAGGGTACAGGCTACACATTTTGATCCCTTGTAGCGGTACAAACAGGTACAACAAATCCATTCTCACCCAATTAAACCATGAGGGAGCGTTCTACTCCAGTTGATGCATCATCAACAGAACGGTTACTAAACTCTGACGAAAATTTCCATTTTTAGCAGCATGTAGGTGCTGCAGCATATAGACTTAGGGTGATGCCAGATGGAACACATTAGTACATTCTCTTTGTTATTCCATAAAGAAACCTGAGCTGTATGTCAGACGAAGTTATATAGTAGCATTTGTATACAAATTTCAGACTAACATTAAGAAAAAACAATAACATGTACTCAAGACAGGTACAGCGGGAGGGAAAAAAAAAGGCTAAATTGTACATACGGATACACAGTCATTTTCATTTTATTATGGAAAATGTCCAGAAAATTGGTATTTAGACAGCCCGAGCACTGTTCTTCACTGCCTTCTGAATTTCGTCACTGCCCCTCATTGGAGATGCCTCTTCCCCACATTTTTCACATGTGCCTCACTTCTCTAAGTATCTACTCATGCTTCTGGGTTATAAGCTTGGAAAGCATAAAATAAGCTGTCTTGCGTTTGTAATGTTCAAAGTTTTCTTATTTGTTTCTGGAAAGACTGCAAAATGCAAGTCAGCAACACAACAGCCACATTTTCCTTCAAAAGACTGACAACAGATTCTCAAAGTGGAAGAAGGAAAAAGGTGACAGCTTTTTTGTGAACTGTCAATCTCCCTCATTTTGACAGGAAATCAGCTCTAACCCCATGGATTCAATCTTCAGAGGTTAGAAATGGTGCCCTGACCAAGAAAACAAAGATCTCTGCCTTCCTTTTTCTCTATTTTGGGTTTCACTGACTAAGGTGTTGCTAACAAATGTCATTCTAAGGTTCCCATATTCCTTACTACTGTTACCCTAGTGAAGTCATGCCGTGCTACTATCTCATTTCACAGAGGGGAAGATTGAGATTTAAAAGAAAAAGTGATTTGTCAGAGATAATACATATTATCAGCAGTCAAGGGGTAGGGGCGGGGGGCCTCAAGCTTCAAAATAATCCCGTCCAGGCATTAGCCTTCCCTTTTCAGCTTCTACATCCTTGTCAGTATTCTACAAAAGTCAGGAAAACACACTTGAAAGCAGCAAACCTCAAGGATTGTACATCCGAGTGATGCTTGATCAATGGAAAGGCTTTACTCTGGGGAATCAACAGACAACATGTAACTTGTACCACAGGGCTGCACAAAACAGTCCTCAAGTAACTTTTCTCTGACACAATCAGATTACTGAGAAGAATTAAAGTCTAATGGCTTATCTAAACAATGGAGACTTCTTCAGCTGCTGTCGCTTGAGCAGCAAAATATTGCCACAGTCTACCAGACTATTCTTTTTCCCATTCTCACAGCTAGTAGCTCCTCTAGGCCAACATGTGGAGTGATCCTCAGAAGACAACCACAGCGAGCAGAAACACGAACCAGGACACTGGACTTAAAGCAAAGCTGACATCAAGTCACAGCAGGACTTTCTACACATCTCGAGACCCTTCTTCTTTCAAGAAGAAACAGATTGCACTGAGAAGACGAATTTTAACCATATGGAAGCTTTAACCCCGACACATTAGCCACCTGAGGGGGCACCAGAAGGACTGAGACACTCTACCAACACAAAGTTCAGCTCAAAAAGTTTAATGATGGGATAGTGTGACCCACTGCAAGCCAAATCAGTCACATAACTACAAATGTATGGCAGATAAATGCCTGAACCACAGGCAGTCTCTCAGGTGATTTAGTGTATCAACCAAAGTTCAGGCTTTTGTGACATTTCACCAGGCACCTGAGCGCTGCCAGAAGAAGAATGCACAATCTGTGCTTGTAAAGCAATGGTTAGAGACGTGCACTCCAGCACCAGCAGTGGAGGTCAGTGGGTCTCCGGGTCAGGCAGTACAGCCCGAGCTGTCTCCATGTGCCGCCCTGTGCAAATTCCTCCTCTGAGCATCAACCGGTCTCGAAGGGGAGCAGAAGACACGTTGTTAGTTGGACTATGCTATACCTAACCAGCCTACATACCTCACCGAGCTGAACTCCTGCTGTAGATCCAAAGCATCCTTAACAATCTCCCTTTACCTACTGCCTTAGACAGGGGTCTCCTGAACCTTGAACCTGTGGAGCATTGCTTTGCCCGTGCTGCATTTCCTCACCTCAGGCTCCTAGATTACAGAGTGACAGCTAAGGACCCCAACCTACCTAATTCTTCATCAGCATCCTCTTCAATGAAAAGCTGTAACCACCACAAGCATATTATGCAATTAAAAAAAAAATGACCTGTCTACACAATACGACCAGAAAAGGAGGTGTTCTGCAAGCCTTTTATATATTTTTTAGTGTACACAAGACGAGGAAAAACTCCAGCTTTCAAAACTGGCTTTTCAAAATTTACATACAGAAAAAAGTTTCACTCAAGGCACAATAGCACCTTGCAGAGATAAACAAGTACCACACAAACCTAAAAGGATGGGTTACATTTTTCTTTTTCAACGGAGAAAAGCCTATTTCAGTTCACTTTGGCTGCACAATCTTTCATGCAGCAGCGAATGAACAAGTCTGGTTTTTTTAATCAATTCCTATTTGAACCAAATTCTTCCAAAGTCACGCTGAGAAAATTCTATAGAGAGCAAAAAACAGGAGCCACACAAAGCAAAGACATCTTGACAGTGCTATTTCCTCTTCTGTCAACAACATTCAACTGCCGACCCTTCTAAATATGAAAGACTTAATGAGGAGGGATAACAATTCATAATAAGATGCTCTAATTACAGAGATCACTGACAAGACAAACATGATTAGTCTACACTGGAAAAGGTTGCACTTTTTTTTTTTCCAAGCTTTAAGTCTAAGTTTGTACAGAATTTCTACTCTCCTATTATATATACACAAAATAAGCATTGCACAAGAAAATAACTTGCACTACCCAAATGTTAGATGATACAGGAAAACACAAATGCATACAGGAGAGACTGAAAACATGTTGGGTAGATGGTAGCTTAGAGAAACTCAGCACAGCCCCCCTATGCCATTTGACACATCTGCACACCCAGTTTTAATATTCTATTACTACTCTGCCTCTTTTAGTGCACAGCATCCACGTTCCCTGCTGTACCTTCAATTTACCTTCCTTGTTCCCCACCCCATGTCCTACTCCTATCCACTTCTTATTTATTCCAGCTGCTTGATTATCTGGAGGATGAGGGGGGTGTATTCTTGTGCTTATTCATGCGTCCAAACAGGGCATGCATTTCTTTCTGGAACTATTTGTTCAGTTGCTACACTGTCCTTGCAGATAAAGCAGAGTACAGCAAAAGCAGTAGGAATATTAACAGATATTGGCGCTGGTTTGAGAAGAGCAGACAAAAGAAAATTTCAAAGCGCTCCCATATTAATGGAACTGGGCTCGACGATGGAAATTCCACAGAGAATACAATGCGAAACCGTGGTTCCGTATGTTGCTAAAAAAATAAAAGCTAACCAAAAAAAAAAGGAAAAAAAAAAAAGAGGCACATATTGCAGAGTCTTACCTGAAACATGTCTGTGTCTTTATCATGAGTATACTCCACTACAACCGTCTGGTTTCTGGATAATGTGTAAGAGATGCTGTGCTGACCTTTACAGCTGATCGCCTGTTGAACAAACAAATAAGTCTGTTATACCCAGCTTCCACAAAAATACCATAATCTAATTCATTTCACTATATAAACACCTTCACTATGATCAGGAAAAGCAGTGTATTGCAACATTTTATTACAAGGCTGGGTAAACACATACAAAAGGACTTTTTGGTTTGTTTTTAACAAAAAACCCCAAGCTGCACTTGTTTGTTTCTAGTTCAGAAGTACCCAATATCTACCATTTTCATAGTTTAGACTCCAAGGTTTCTCTCAGAAATTATATTGAGTTCCTAACCCTGTTAGGAACTCGTATCCCAGAAAAGACTTGGGGTTCAGTGTTCTTTGGTTGTGTTCTTTTTTTTTTAAAAAGGAAATGAGCAATAAAGTTGATTACCAGTTGGAAGTGCCAGGGCTTCACGGATATTACAGTTAAATTACTCAGACTTGATCTTAAAGGTCTTTTCCAACCTAACCAATTCTACGATTCTGTAAGGAGATTTCTAGTCACATCAGAAGGAGCCTGGTCATTTTATATAAACTGCGATGAAGAGCGAGCACTTTCAACCCATTTTTCCTCCTTAAAGGATGTACTTTACTCCTTAAAGGGCACTTCTTACTACCCGTCAAAGGAAACTGATTTGGACATAGTGTTAAAGTCTACATAGTATTTCAGTATTTAAAACAAGACTAGAAGACAATAAGTCCTTCTGCTGTATCTTATTAAGATTGAATTCTTTACTTAAGAGTTCCCAGGTTTACAGTTCTAGGTTGTCTTTTTACCAGCCCAGCAACTACTTCAGAGAACAGAACAGACGTCACCCCAACACAGGAGCAGCCCCATCTCAGAAATAAACTGTGAAAAGCAGTTTTCCTTGAATAAAAACGACGCAGAGAGCTGTAAGATCACCCAGTGATCCTTTCGGAACCTCTGAGATGCAGCACACAAAAATCTTCATGGCCCTGATGATAGTTTCTCAAGCTTAAGGTCTAACACTCACTTCAAATGATTAAGCAGTGTCAAAATGTACATACAGTGTGAAAACATCAGTAAAAGTTTCAAGATAGAGGAAAACAAGCTGAGAAACCACATCTACTGGCTAACGGGGAAATATATGTAAATATAAGGTTCATGTTACTGCACACAATTATGAAAGGTAATGACTGTTACTGCTCAGGAAACACTTTGCAGACACTTAAGCACTGAATTAATCGGTTAATTAAAGCTTTCTCCAGTTTTCTGCTAAGGGGGGTAATTTTCTAGAAGAGGTTCTCTCACAAGCTCCACTCCTTCATGCTGCTCTTCACCTACAAAATTTGCAGATATGAATGATTAAACTAAGCAACTAAATATATTCTAGTCATCTGTCTGTCATCTCTCACAAAAGTCTAAATGATTCTAAAGCTACAGATCAAATATTAAACAAATCGTTAAAAGCCTCATTGAATTTTGGAGGTATTAAAAACATCTATGTGCATACTAAAAGCCTGCTAAGACTTAGAAAAATATTGCATTTACAGCAACTGATTATAGAGACTACTTTCACAACGTGCCTCTTGCTGAACCCTCTTAGCACGGAAGATTTAGGCTTAGGTGATAATACCTGAATGCAAGATGACCTTTCCCAGTCCCTTCCAGTACTTTTTTTTCCTGCAATGAAGCTTTTAACAAAACTCCAAGCTATAAAGTCTAGTTCCTCTGTCATAACCACAGTGGAAAACAAGGCAAACGTATTTGGTAATCAGTGGTACGCAGAGTCTAAATTTCTCAGTTTAAATTTATTTATAGTGTTTTGTAATAACACTATACTGGCACATGGTATGTTGCAAGAACAAACAGCATCTCGACATGCAGTTCAAATGAAGTCACTAACGCTTTATGACCTGCTAGGACACTGCACTGTGGGTCTGAATCGCACACGAAGAGCTTTTCTTCTACGTATGTTTGAAAACTAACGGAATCTTGAACCCTGAGCAAGTCTCGGGTGTTTCCAGAATACAAATGAAATAGAGCGACAAACAGGAGACCCTTACACCTTGCACTTTAAGCATCACGTGGCAATCATCAATTTGCATTCACATTACTAGGTATCATAATTTCAAACATCTGAAAATAACAGCTTTCACACACAAAATTTTCACTCCTTTCCACAAAACCACGTTGCAGCTGCGGGTACATCTGAGGACAGGCTTGTCACCAAGTGTCAACATGATGGTCCCAGCTCCAGTCAGTCTGTGCAGCACCTACACCACCAGCAAGCAGGTAACATGCCAGGCAGGGGTGTGTGCTTCTGCTCGTGTCTGACAAGATGCTGGATCAAATGGAAGATTTGGTGAGTGACAAAACTGAAAGTGTTAAGGTCCAATGGAAAAATCACAGAGGGGAAACATAAGAACTTCCAGAATTACTTAGTAAGGTCATGTCCTACACCTACAAGACTTAGGTATGTTAATAATTCCCATTAAATTCACCAGGATCAGTATCTCCTCTGAAATATTAGGACAGCACATAATATTTTCTTTTCTACCTCTCTGAACTCTTCTTCATCTTATCTCCCCCCCTCTTGTTTTCCACTATTTGAACCTGGTTATTTCCAGTGTGAAATGTTGCATTTCCTGAAATTGTGTAACTAATTTCCAAAAAAAAAGCTAAGAATATTATGAGAAATGCTTCAGCTTACATGCTTTCACAGTCTGCTCAGCATCAACAGTTGCTCCAACTCAAAGACATTTTATAGGTATTTTAATTGCTGGTTTCAAAGCAATTGGCCGTTTCCAAGTAAAAAAACTAAACCAAAACATAGCAGTATTTTGGGAACTACATAAAACAGAAGTATGAACTACTCACAATGACTATGAGAAGTGAAACTTTAATATCTTAACAAAACAGTATTGTAAGTGCAATGCAGCCACGGGCAAAATCACAAAGGATTTTGACAGCTTGAGGAGGTACAGAACCACACTACTACAAATCCCCAAAATGTCTGGAGACTGATTGCCCCAACCCCTTTAAAATTGGTTTGTGGCAACCAAAATAGGGAGGCTGCCTTTTTACTGCTTTTCCTTGACCTTTTTTTTTTTCCTGCCAGTAGGATTTTCCCCACCACTGCCAAAAAACCTTGATGCTGCCACATAACTGCACTGCTGCGGGGACTAGAGTTGTGAGGAGAGCCCTGACCCTCACAAGCTGTACAGTGGTGTCACAAGTTCTAGCAGACTTCAGACTTTCAGGCTGGGCACCACCACTTCCACCTTCCAGGCAGGAACTAAAATAAAAAAAGAACAAAACACCCAGGCACTCAAACCACACCTGTATTCTCCTCACCTCCACCTCAAGGCTACCAAGATCCAGCAGAGTACTCCGAGGCCACCAAACTTTTAAGAGCGTGGGTCAAATTCAGCTTAATTTGAGAGCAGTTCTCTCATATCTTTTAGGTTCTTAAAAGTTTAATGAAAATCAGCAATTGCCAAGAAAAAACAAACGAAACTAAAAATAAACTAGTTCCCAACAGAAAGAAATGTTGGAAAATGTATATATGGATATAGTCTCAGGCTGCCAAACAAATGGGAAGCATGTGGCTCCAGACTGGCCATAGCATATGGCACCTCTTGTCCAGTAGGAATGCTGCTGGGGAGAGAGAGGCTTGATTAATTCAGCCGCCTACACAGCGGTTTGTTTTATACGGTTAACTGTCTCAGGTTGCTGAATGGAAGTAATTCCCTTTGGAGGAAACGGATAGCAAAGTGGAGACTAACTGATACAAAAACCTCGGTGGAGGGATAGAGGGAATAAACAACAGCAGCAGGAGATTCTTCTAGAATAATTCCACTGCTAGTGACACTATAACCACATTTTAAAAAGTCCAAATGCAAGCAACAAGGGAAACCTGAAGTGCCATATTCCACTTGGCATGAAGGGAGAGATCTCCCGAGCAGCCTTCCAAGACAGAGCTCACGTCTGCACAGAAATCAAGCCACCTGCACAGGGCTTTCAACTCGGAGGTCAGTACACAGCAGCTCCAAGCCTCACTATATATTGAGGCAGTTTACCTTAACGAGAAGACTCCTCTCCTCCTTGTCGCTCAAAGCAAAACCCACAGCTAAACCCACTGCACGGTACTGCCTTGAGATTTACATTCCAGTGATTTAGGGTCATCAAAACTGTCATATGGTAGCAGAGACTGAAAAGAATTGCATCTGAGAAGCCCCACTGTTTTACTGCCACACTAGCATGGCTTAGGCATTTCTGGTTTAATTTTTATTTTATTCTTAAAGAAGCTTTGCTAGCAGCTCCTCAAGTTTGCAGTTATGTCCTTCCTGTTGGTTGGAATTACCCTTGGCCCTGTTTTTTCTCCTGCCTCTTTACATGCACTTTTCGTTCTTGCTCCTTTCTCTCTGTTTCGAGATCAGAACTTCGTTCGAGCACTCTGTACTCACAATCAAAGCAGCAGCTAAAGGCTATGGCTTACAAATCTGTCATGTCTCAGAGGAACCAAGATCAAATAGAGACCGCTTTCCCAGCAGTTGCATCCCCACAGCTCAGTCAGCGCCTGGAACACCCCAGTTTCCCTGAGTCCTTTGCTCTCCACTCATTCCCCTGGAGACACAGCTGCCATCAGTTTACCACTGTTGCAAGAAGCAAGAAAGTAGAATTCCCTCACTCCCACCTATAAAGACACACCTTGCAGGTAAAGGGAATAAGAATACACAAAGGTTTCATCAAGATGAGTGTGGCCAGCAGGTCAAGAGAGGTGATTCTCTCCCTTTACTCTGCTCTTGTGAGACCCCACCTCGAATACTGCATCCAGTTCTGGTGTCCCCATCATAAGAGGGATCCAGATCTGTTGGAACAAGTCCAGAGGAGGCCACAAAGATGGTCCAGGGGCTGGAGCACCTCTGCCACGAGGACAGGCCACGGGAGCTGGGATTGTTCAGCCTGGGGAAGAGAAGACTCCAGGGGGACCTTATCACTGCCTTCAAGTGCCTGAAGCGAACCTACAGGAAGGCTGGGGAGGGACTTTTTAGCAGAGTGTCCA